CTCCTAATCTTACCCAGAATAAAAAAAAAATAGTCATTTTTATTTTTCATCCATCCAACCAAACATAAAGGAAGGAAAATGTATCATTCCTACTTTCCATTCTTCCTAATTTTCATCATTCCTACCAAACGGAACATTAGATCAAACATATAGACAAATCAAAACAGTGGAGATGTTTTACAATTACAAGCACACCACAAAGGAAAAAAGCATACCATATAGCAATAACATGTACTAAAAAAAATTCAATATAAGATTTAACAGTTACCTTTTTTGCCATATCTTCTATTGCCCTCTATGTGTGTGTTGGGTGTTTTGATTCTTACTCATGTTTTTACATGCTGTAGTCAAACCTGAAAGGGAAATACAAAAGAACTAGTAGTATTGATCAAAGACTATGTTCATCATCACAATATGTTCCACTGGATGTGACCAAAGACTATAATCTCAAAATCTGTTTCCATGTGTGGAAGTACAGGAGACCATGGCCCGTTGGAGAGTGGAAAGCTCTTCGTAGCTATCCTTTGGCAAGTTTGTGCAACCTGGTTTGGACTATGCAAGCTTGATGATGAAAGTTTGTCTATGACTTTGTTGCTGGGGGGACAATGTGATGCAATAGCTTGTGTTGATGCTATGCAAGAATGACAATTTGAATGCACTTTGAGAACCATGATTTGATCAAGGAAGCACTTACACTATGGGCATATAGGTGTCCTAACTACAGTCATAAAGTGCTATATTTGACTCGATAAGATTTCATTTATTACTTAATTCACCATAGCATAAGTTGGGTCTGAATAGATTGCACTTCAATGCCAATTTGATCTATTTATTAGCATGTGATAGAAGATCTTCGATACATATATCTAATAATAATCTGAATCTGTGAATCCGTTAGCTTGAAAAGTAGTATTTGGATATAAATCAAGATAATAGATTGACAATTTGACCTAGAAAATTTTGTTTGGTTAGTTAGATAAGCACACCCAATAATAGACTAGGGAAGATCAATAACTCTATATAGAACAATAGTAAATTTCTTCTAAACCACATTATTTGTCGCAGTGCTTGTCGAATTCTTCTCATTTTTTTTGTATGCACATTTCTATTTACACATTTATAATCCCTTTCAATGACAATGAACAAATAATAGTTCTAAAGATCACGAAAACTTTTCGAAGTAACTCATTAGCTAAATAAGGAACAATCAAATTACAATCTCCATCGAACAAATGTACAAAATCATAAGTTCTCGAATAACAATTTCATGGTTAAACTTGATACCAAAACGACATCAAGTTGGCAATCTCACCAAAAACAAAAAAAACAACAGAAAAAAGTTGGCAGTTACATACCCTTGTTTAAATTACAAACAATTAGTGCACTCTTAAAAAATGGCAAGAGAACATTTGACAAGCACAAGTCAAACCGAACTCATCTGTGTTTGGCACGTAAGAAAGTTGCTCCTTAAAATAGACATCTTCAACTGTCAACACCAACAAAAATAAGGAAGTTTAGAGGCACACTGAGTGATAGGTGAACACATATCAAAATGAGTACTAGTTTACTTTCAATTAGATAGATTACACTTACAAATTAAAGCCAAATTTACATGGCCTCTTCTACTATTGATTTTTTTCACATAGAACCTTTAATTACTTGAATTGGTTTGGTTTTACATAATCCTAAAACCAAAGGTTTGGTTTGCTTCAGAAGGAAAATGCATACAAGCCAGTGAATTTTGCAGCAATGTGTAACTAATTTAAAGTAGGTGAGGGAGGGTGGAAGCAATAAAGGGTCATGCAGTTTAGTCATTTTCCATCCATAAGTTAACTGTCACTGGGGGCTTGAAGCCATGTCAAGCCAATTAGTAGAAGGTTAGTAAGACAAAACTGATCATACAGGGGGAATATGAGATTAGAGCCATAGTGTTGGCGTGCTAAGTGTAAGTTTCCCTTTTTCTCTTTATAGACTTAAACCTGATTGGAAAAAAAATGAAAACAGAGGCAAGCAGGTTAAAAGGGAAGAAATGCAATGTGAATGGAACCTGAGAGACGAATTACGAACGCAGGGGATGTGAGCAATCTTGGGCCAATCAACTCCTTTCTCCTTGTAACACCGTTCTTCAAGAAGTGGGCATCTTGTTATGACCAGGCTTGAAAGTGTGTCAAGTATCCTTTCATTCGGCAAGGAACCCAACTCAGGGCATTTCTTGATTTCCAGATGCTCAAGAGAGGTCAGATTCTGGAGCCCCTCAGAGAGAGACTTTATCTTAGGGCAATTGTTGATTTTCAGATGCTCAAGAGAGGTCAAGTTTCGGAGCCCCTCAGAGAGAGACTCGAGATTAGAAAATCCATCAATATAGAGGTTAGTTAGAGTAGGAGGAAGAAAACAAGAGTCTGGAAAGGAAAGTAGCTCTGGATATAAACGTTCCATGGTGAAACGCCGAAGAGAGGAGAGTCTTTGCAAGCCCCACTCTGATAGAGGCTTAAGTTCTCTGCAATTAGAAATAAATAAGGTTTCTAGGTTGCGGGGGAAATTCCAGCCAGGAAAGGATTCCAAACTTCTACAATCACGTATACTGAGCGATTTAAGGAATATGAGGCTGTGACTCTGGCTAGGAAAGGAAAAGGGATTTTCAAACCCAGAGATGTAAAGACTTACTAGGTTAGGAGTGAGCAAACCACTTCCTGAGGGTGAGTGGTCGATTTGATAATTCAACCCACATACAAATTCCCGCAGGCCTACTCGTAAACTCCCCAAATTGGGCCAATTACTGATCCCAAAGCTTCCTGACGTGATGCTCTGCTCGACTGTCTCTTTAACCCACTCCAAATTCCTGCAATCCCAGATTGAAACTGACTTAAGCGCGGAGAGAGGAGTGTTTGTCGGCAAGGATCTCAGAGACGAGCATTTTCGGAGCTCCAACACTTCAAGACGAGTGATGCAATTAGGGATGGATTCCAGAGAATCGGCTTCTACAATGCAAAGACGTCTAAGCATGGGCGGGAGACTCTCCTCTGGAAAAGAGACAAGCTTTGGGCACTTCCTGATTTCCACCTCCTTGAGAGAGGTATGGCTTTTTAGTCCATAAGGCAACCTCTCCAGATTTTCACAAGAGTCTACTTGCAAACGTTCAAGATTACAAGGTAGCATTTGATCTACTTCTAACAGTTGCACAAGTAGAGGACAATGCCAGACTGCTACGCGTTTGCAACAGGAAAGGCTTTCTGGTGTAATCCCATTCTGCCACAAAGTCACCAACGCGGCACAATTCCAAAATTCAAGATCTTCAAGTGACACCAACCCATTTGTGAACTCCGTTTGCAGATGAATTATTCCCGAAACATTCTTAATTTTCAATCTTCTTAGAGACGGCAATTGGGTAAAACTTTTCAACACTGCCTGATCACAATTTTCTATCTCTAACTTGCAAAGAGAGAGAAGTCTTAAGAGTGGAACACCCACCAGTTTAGGACAATTTTGTATAGTAAGCTCACGAAGGCAAGGGAAAGATCCTCTAAAATCAACACCATAGGAAAAAGACCATTCCTTCCATTCTAGCATCTTGTTGAATTGTAGAATCTCGAGTGATAGAAATGGAATCTCCAAAGTGCTACCACTGCAATAGAACTCTGCACCCACACTTTTTACAGCATGCATGTCTTTTATGTATAGTTCTTTGAGCAAGGGTAATTGGCCAAGTGGTGGTAAAGACTCGCATTTTGTACAACCTTCAAGACTAATGTACATTGTTTTAGAGAATGACAGATCCCCAATCCAACTTGGAAATGTGATGCCCTTGTATAACTCAATTTTAAGACTTTTTAATTCTCTATGTGGCCGCAACATATCAAGTACATTGACTTGTAGTCCTTCCCGTTGAGTATCTTCGATGTCACTATTCCATTGAAATTCTAACTCATTAAGATACTGCTTACCACTTAAATTGGCATCCTCTGCATCCCGCACATCCATAACATTTTCTAACCCTACAACGGAAAGCATCCCTCTTAGAAGCAATAGGCTATTCAAATCTCTGAGTCCAAATCCACTATTTTTGCGAACTAGAATCTTTGGCAATGTTTGCAAACATTTCAATCTACCGATCCCCGAGGGCATCTCTTCCAATTTTGGAGTATCTCGAAGGTCAAGATGTCGCAGGTTCACCAAATTTCCAATGTGTGTGGGCAACTTACAAAGGAAGCGACAACCTCTTAACGATAATGTTTGTAAATTGTAGAGAGTATTCACTGATTCAGGCAACCATTTAATCAAGGTTTGTGACAAATTAAGGTACCTGAGATTTTTCAAATCTCCAATGGAGTTGGGTAGCTCACTTATTTCGTACCCACTCAAAGATAAGACTCTTAAGCATCGTAAGTTTGGTAGTAGGTTGACTACAATGCTATTGCTTAAATAGGATTTGATCCAAAACTCTAACTTATAAAGTGGTAGCGGTATGAAAGTCCGCAACCTCTGAAGTTCATGAAACGCCTTGAATCTTTTATACACCTCATATTTGTGACGAATGAATGACGAGTGGCGAGCTTTTTGAGAAATCTTACACCGTTCATTGCTCTCCATATTATCATCCAACCTAAAGCATATTTCTTCTGCAACATATTGAGCTAGGTCATTCAAGAGTTCATGCATCACAAATTTTGATTCTGTGCCACCTGAACGTTGGAAGAATGACCTTGATAACAGCTCACTGAAACATTTGTCGCCTAACTCTTCCATGCTTTCCTCCATTCCTTTTGATTGTTGCAAAAACCCTTGCGCCATCCATAACAAAACTAACTCATCCTTGTCAAACTCATAGTCCTTTGGAAATACAGCACAGTACGCAAACATTTGCTTTAATTGAGAAGGGAGATGTTGATAGCTCAATCTTAGTGCAGGAAGAATGCCACTCTTGTGCTCAGTTAACTCCCAAATTTTGCTATTCAGTACATCTTTCCACTCCTTTGGGCTATGTTTAGTACGCAGAAGACCTCCTATTGTCTTTGCTGCCAGAGGCAAACGTGCACACTTTTTCACTATATCCTTGCCAATTACTCCCAAATTTGGATGATCATCAAAATTTCTTGTACCCAATGCATGTTGAGCTAATAAACACAAACAATCACTTTCTGCCAACACATTTAAACGGTAAGCAGGAACAGAACCCATGATAGATGCAACACCTTCATTCCGAGTTGTAACAACAATTTTACTTCCAGGTAGCCCAACTCGAAAAGGAACACGGAGGAGATCCCATTTTTCGTAGTCTTGATTCCAAACATCATCTAAAACAATAAAAAATTTTCTTCCAGAAAGTTTCTTATTGAGACTCTCTTGCAACAAGCTAAAGTCCTTGAAGACACATCTTTCCTTGGTCACTGCCTCATGAATAATCCTGGTTATCATGAACACATCAAACACTTCAGAAACACACACCCATGCTCTCAAATCAAAGAATTCCCCAACTTTCTCATCATTGTACACAAATTGAGCTAGAGTGGTCTTGCCCACACCTCCCATACCAACAATTGGAATGATGCATGGTTCATCATTACATGCTTCATCTCTAAAAACCAGTCCAAGTATTTCTTTTTTTTCATCTTCCCGACCGTAAACATGGGGCTCAATGGGCAAGCAACTTGTTGGCAATCTCTTTGTTTCTGTGTTTGACATTGCTTCTCGGTTAACTCTCAAATCCAAATCATTTTTCAGTTTTGCAATATCTTGTAATCTAGCAGTGATCTCCTCAATCTTGGGGCCCATCTTGATTTTGAGCGAAACAGATCTACGAAAATTAGTACAACAAGTAGGGATGAATCTTCGTACCTTACTTGTGGTAGCTTCTTCAGGCTCGGACTTCAATTCATGTGCCAAAGCTTCTGTTGCAATTTCGTCCAGTAGGTCATCCAAATCGTAAGCCAAATCACTGAGACGATTCAGCCATAATTTCACAGCTTCCTCCGTTATCTGCTTAGCCTCTGCATCACTGAGCACTGCTCGAATTGTCATCAACATTACGCTCAATTTCTCCAACTGGGCATGAATTCCTTCTCTGCGAGCAAAGTTCAACAACTCGTGAGAGGCCAATCTCTCAAACAACACAGTCATAAACGCACCCAGAAAAACTTCTACCAAAGCCATTGTTTTCCAATTTTTGTGGTGGTTGTTGGTGGTGAGGGTGGAACAAAAAGATAACGAGAAACACAAAGTCAGATCTTAGAAATAGAAAGATGGGTTTTGTGTATCACAGCTTATGCTTTCAAGGGCTACAATTTGCAACAATTGCACTATGATTTTTTTATTTTGTTCTCTCAACTATCATATTTTTTATATTTCATCCTCAACTATTTGATTAATTTTGCATTGTCTTATTAATGATCGTTACATATTCAACAAAAATTTATTTCATTTGACCCCCTAAAATATTTTTTTTTTCACTTTGACCCTACATGTCAACATTTTTTGTTAAAAAAGATAACAAACATTTGTAATTGGGGTAATGTGAAACAATCAAAGTAATTAAGGGGACAATGTAAACATTTCAATAGTTTAAAGGATAAAATTAAATTGAGTCCACAATTTAGGGATTAAAGTGTAATTTACCATGAGTTTTTGACTCGCCAGCTATTTATGCTAAGATAGATAGGATCAAAATAATGACGGGGTGGATTTAATATCATGTTACTTGATATGATTAATTAAATAAATTGGGTTATAACTTAAAGTTAGTATGAATTTTTTGTTAGTTTAGTTCTCATTGTATCAATTTTATCAATTTGATCTCTAAAGTATTTAATTTGTGTTATTTTAGTCCTTACATAGACAAATCGTTAAATTTTTGACGGAATGATCAGATGATATTATCTAAAAAAATGACACGTGATCAATTCCTTCAAAAAAAGTTGGCGGATTATCTGATTAATGACTAATTTGATACGAATTGAATATTTTATATACCGAATTGAAAAAAATTAATACATTGAAGACTAAACTAATAAAAAATATATGTTTTAAGAATTAAAAATTCTATTAACCTTAGAATTTATTACTACTCAGACACTAACCCAAATTGATCTAATTCCAATTCTATACGACTCTATTGACACCTGAGATGGACCATGGAATAGATAAAGACCTTACGATTATTGAGGCTCTTTTGGGACCGCCATTGTGGAAAACCTGTCGACAAAGACAAGAGGGGTGGATCTTTCACTTTGGGTTCAATCTAGTCGATCATTATAAATTCGTGTTAAGTGCGAATTATCCTTAATTTAACTCATTTGAACCAACCTTTCAAAATTTATTGACATTAACTTGACTTTTTTACTATTGTGTCGTGCTTATGTTGGCCTTAGTCGGTCAAGATAAAAACAAAATTATGTTTTTTCTCTCTCTCAACTATATAGTTGAGCGTATAGTATCATAAGGGCGGGACCTAAGGGAGGAGAGGGGATTGAAAGAGTCAAAGATTCAAAATTCATCGCTAGCAATTAAATAGGACTTTGGTGTTGCCCATAATAGTCTCTTTTAGTGCTTCTAGTTTTTTTTTTTTTACTCAAATTTTGCTGCAAATGCACTACAACAAAATTCAATCTAGGGAGTCCCTGTTTGAATATTTCTCCAATTGTTTTCTTATGAACTTCAATTGGAGAAAATATTTTCCTTGGCAAAATCTATTTGGCTTTTTCAAAGAGACAAATTCTGTTAATTTTTTTAAAAACTTGAATCTTGATATCTGTTTGATACCAGATCTGCTATTTATAAAAATAAGATTATTTTTTCACAGGAAAATTCCTCTTACATGTCCATATGTTTAATAAGACTAAAGTAAAGAGTTTGAAAGTCATCAAATTGATTCTTAGATTTATTGAGGTTCGACGTTTGCTCAGTTATCTCATTTGACAATTTACCCATGTATTTTTAAAAATCTCCTTTTCGCTCAAGGTTATGACTTTTTTATACGCCATTGAGGTTTCATAAAAAGAATTGGGCAAATTTGAGTTATAAAAATCTAGAACTTCAAATGGAATGATAATTTTTCCCTTGTAGTCTAAAACTAGAACTATTTTTCCCCTTGTCCATGACTTGCAAAAGCATATATTTTCAATGATTAACTCTTGCCTAGTGCTAATCAGTTGTATCATTTGTTTAAAAGTCTTCAGTACTATCCTTGCTAGATAATCAACAATAAAATTGTTAATTCTTTTAACATACTCAACTTCAAAAGTATATATTGTAAGCTAATTATACCATTTTAATCTACTACCTTCAATATTATTTTTTTATTAGTTAAAAAAATCTCGTACCGGTTGATTGTCTATTCTAACAATAAAACCTTCGGAATATGAAATTTTTTTACAAGGGGTTTAATTGCTAAAAGTTATTTTTCAAAAATAATATAATTTATTTCATTTAACTTAAACTTTTCTAAATTATAGCCACAAATTAATTCCTCTTTTCGAATTTTTTTTTAGATATGGGGCTTTTTCTAGCTCAGATACCAAATGAAAGAGGATGATCCTTTTTCTGCCTATTTCCCTATGACTAATACTACACTAACTAAATTTTGGGATCAATTTTAGAACCTAAATGACATAAAAGTTGACTTAAACTTTTTTATTTGATGTCATATCAATTGGGCCCAATAAAAACTTCAAATAATCAACTGTCATGTCATTTGAGTTTCAAATTTAGTCGGTGTAGCATTACTCTTTGCGTGTTGGTATAGCTTTGAGAACACATTCCCCAGCCCCAGCACAAGCAAGCTAGATGCATCAATTTTTAAAATTAATTTATCTTCTTGGCTAGAAAAATAAACTTTAGGAATATTTTTAAGTTCTTCCTTAATTTTTTTAAGGCTCTATCTTCATCGTTCCACTCAAACTATTTATCTTTCTTGAGTTTTTCTATCAAATGAATTTCTTTCTATGATAGATCCTTGATAAAATTTCTCTCATAATTTAGAATTCCTAGAATACTTTGTAATTTTTTCTTTTCTCTTACTTCTTCATAAAATTCTTTAATTTTCGAAATTATATGTTCTTGCTATCTTTTTCCTTTATGATCTAAGATTATTCCTAAAAATTCAATTGACTTTTTTTCTACCTCGATTTTCTTAGGTNCCCCCCCCCCCCCCCTCTTTTTTAAGTTTCATAAACCTTTGGGCAATTTTATAATTTCTAGAAACTTTGACTACCAATAGGGGGTCACTTTGTAATATCTTGTGACTTTTTGGGGCCACTAAAAGTTTCAGAAATATATCTTAACTATTAGATACATTTATTTAGCATTTGAGAGTATCTAGAGGGCCCACCTGGACTGTCTTCCGTATCCATACGCATACATTAACTTCTACAATCCACAAAATATGTCTCTACCATCTTTTTTTAGTCGTTGAAATTACTCCATTTGTCACTATAGGTCAGTTCAAAAATCTCCCGTTACATCACAATTTTCAATGAGGTATGATCTAGATAAGGAGTTGGCTTCCATTCCTTGATAAATTGAATACTTTGTTAATTACATGTTAATTAAATACTTTGGATGAAAAATAATATTAATTTAGTGTTGGTTTGATAAATTGAATTTTTATTAGATGTTAATTGAATGAATTGGATGTTAATTGGATGATTTTGGAATAAATTGGATGAATTTAATATTAATTAAGTTGAATTTTAATGTTAATTTGATGAATTAAATATATTAATGTAATATTAATTTTAGATTGTGTTGAAATCTAGATTTCAAATCTAGCCTCTATATAACGAGGTGCAGACCTAGTCTATTGGGTACCCTTGAATGACCCTCAAATCCTTTCTCTAGAATGTTCTCACACCTCCCTACGTCTACACATTCTCCCACCTTTTCCTACTACACTCACCTACCTCCTCTGTCCATAGCCTGCCTTTCTCTTGTAAATATTCTTAGTCTTCTTCCTAGTGCAATCATCTCTTTTGTATAATATCTTTGTAAGTCTTCTCAAACAGAGAATGTAGAACAATCTGAAACTGAAGAAATTAAACAATTTGAAGATTATTTACACCAAATGCAGTATGAAGAAATAACTAAAATTGGGTATTCCAAACCTAAAAGGTAAAATAATACATATTCACAAACACCCCCAATGAAAACTTATTATCATAGATCAACCCCTCAAGAAGACTTACATGAGGAAAATTTATATGAGGAAACTTTCTTGAGGAGTTGATCTATGATAATAAGCTTTCGTTGGGGGTGCTTGTGAATATGTATTATTTTGCCTTTTAGGTTAATAATACTCAAATTTATTTAGACTGCATTTGGTGTAAAGAATTTTTAAATTATTTAATTTCTTCAGTTTCAGATTGCTCTACACTCTCTGTCTGAGAAGACTTATAGAGATATGATACAAAAGAGATGATTGCACTAGGAAAGAGACTAAAAATATTTACAAGAGAAAGGAAGGCTATGGACAAAGAAGGTAGGTGGGTGTAGTAGGAAAAGGTGGGAGAATGTGTAGACGTAGGGAGGTGTGAGAAAAGTCTAGAGAAAGAATTTGAGGGTCATTTGAGGGTAACCAATAGACCGGGTCTGCACCTTGTTATATATAGGCCGGACTTGAAATTCGGATCTCAACACAACCTAAACTATTTACAACTTTAATAATTTATATTAACGTTATTATATACGTCATCATTACTGTGCATTTTTTACTATTCACGACTTTAATAATTTTGTAGTGACGTCATGGCTTACGTCACTTCTTCAGAGTCGGCTTTATCTAAAAATTCAACTTTATCTAATCATTTCCTGTAAATCAAATTACACAACATATTATCACTGTCATCATGGAGGTTTATCTTCATATCATCATTAAGTAAATCTTCATTAATAAAAATATCACTTTTAAGAGAGGTATATCCTTGAAAATCCATAAAGTCATCATCAAAGTCAATAAGAGTGGGTGTTTTCCTACCAACCTCCTCAACTTTATCTTTCCCTTTGTCTTTTATGGCAACTGTTGGAGTATTAGCAAGATCCATCTTTTCGATTTTGCCCATTTCAAATGCTGATAAAATCTGAAGACGCATCTCTTCCATAATTGCTGTTTTAAGTTGCTCAGTATTTAAATGTGGTTTTTCTTTTTTAATTTATTCTTTAAGAACTTTAGCAAGATTAAATTCAATATTTATATTGGTACTGAGAATTATAGCTGTAAAGGTTGAAACTTTTTCTTCCTTTTTTACCATGTCTT